GGGCAAATTAGCGTGTAAGCATAATGTGTAGGGTTTGAATTGTATCAATTCCGATTCTGATTCCGATTCTGCTTATCGATTCTGATTCTTTTCGATTCCCAGTTTCGATTCCAATGTGATTAAAAAATTATATCAAACATATTTATTCTGTCTCATTATTGCAAAACATTTAGTTGCAGCTGAATACCATAAACAAAAATCAGCAGGCCACATAAAAACTGGACTCGTTATAAACTGAGTTTGTTTGTTTTTTAATGGGGACTCTGGTTCTCTCCAGATTCTTAAGAAAAAAATGAGAGAACTAATGTACGAAGCGCACACAGGAATCGATAGGCGGAATCGACACTTTAATTTTACAACAAGTATCTGATTCCTGAACTTAAGTATCTGATTCTGGAACTGGAATCGATTTTCGATTCCCAACCCTAGTAATGTGAGTGGATATTTGAATATTTATGCGGGTGATTTACTGACAATGTGAGGGTATTTCCATAATGACAACCGCGATCTACAAATTAGAGTCTGGTTTAAGACATGCTTTTTTGAGGCAGTTAATAATGGCGTAAATACCAGTAAATTGACTACCGTCAAACCTTAGTAAATCTTGTTACGTGATCCATTTTAAACCGCAAAAAAAGAGGGTTTTCACTGGTGCAAGCTATTAGTAAATCTGCTGGCCCTTAGTATACTATATCCTTAAACAGTGTATTCCTTGAATCATACAACAACAGGAGAAAACAAATCAGTTTTTCAAGAAAATATTCTTCATTTATTAAAATTTTAAACAGTTTGAACAGTGTTCCTGTATAGTAATCAAACTGACCCCGTACACTTTTGATCCAATAACTAACCCTTACCCGCAAATGTGTTGTATATTTACAAATAAGCTTTTAATCATTGTATAACATCTATTACAATCATTTGTAGATTTTCAAGAAGTGCATGATCGTATAAACTGAAAGTTTCTTGACATTTGCAGGCATTTCATATTACATTAAATAATGATTTTATTAAACATTACTAACCATTAAGTAATATTTAATAAGGGGCTAAAACTAAAAAACAAACAAACATATCAGTTAGGTTTTCCAAAATTAGCTAAATTTAAGAACCATTATTAAACCACATTTAAGTGTTACCTTGTATGTCTCGGGATAATGTCCGTGGAGACCACTGTCAATTCAGCAAGTTGAGCTCTTACAAGAGATCTGACCTTAGATCTGCTTGTACAGACTTAACTTTTGGGTGTGGACCACTTGGTAGAACATTCCAATATCACATGAAACATACTCTATGCCAAGCAAATCATTAGTAAGTTTTATTTGACTTCATATCGCACTGAATTATTATTGTTATCTCTTTAACTGTCCTGGAATTTAGTCCATCAAAAGAATAGGATTTCAGGGGGAAAATGAAAGAAAAAGCACATGAAGCAAAGGGACACTGTGTTCTTTGTCTGCTTGCCATGTAGGCAAAATTTGCCTTTCAAAACCAAAGGTAAATTATTCAGGTCTGTTAGGTAAATGAGAATATACTATGACAGAATATGACTGTTTGTTTATATGTGTAACTCCAGTCCATCAGTTCATCTTGTCAGGTGAAAAGTTGTTTTCGTAATAAACAAATGAATCATTAAGCAGTGGTGGACGAAGTACACAAATCAAGTACTTGAGTAAAAGTACAGATACGTATAATAAAATATTACTCCAGTAAAAGCAAAAGTACTCCTTTTTCAATTTTACTCGAGTGAAAGTACAAAAGTACTCAATTTTTAATGTACTTAAGTAAAAAAGTACTTATAGATAGATTTATTTTGCAATTTCTTTTATATAGGCTACTTAATTAAATTTTATATTAGCACATATTTTTTATAATCCTACTGCTCAAAATACCTGGGATTTTCCCAAAATAACCACTATATGGAGTCAAGATATATTTTTGTTGTTGATATGGACTACGTTGACGAGAGTGATGTAGTAATGTTCACTGTGAAGCTTACACTGCGAAGTACCTGAGAGAAAACAGATTTGACCATCTGATTTTCACCAGTAAGAAAAAAGTGTTTTAAAGCTTGTTGTTTTGCAGAACATCACAGTTATATATGACATGACAATAAGGCCTGAAGTTAGGAAGAACATTTTAAGGAAAATATAATTATATTTTCATAATGATTTTTTTTTTCTTCTCAAACCTTGTCTGTGGTGTAAAAACACCCCTGGCCAAATGCCCCCAGAGGACATCACTTCCCACTTTGATAATTACTGTAGTTACCATGTTCTGAACATCACATCCTTTCTTTTTCCCTCAGATGTAATCTATCTAGGTGGTTGAATAAAAATATTTGGACTTTATATCTAAAAATTACCTAAATTAAAGTACAGATACGTATAATAAAATATTACTCCAGTAAAAGCAAAAGTACTCCTTTTTCAATTTTACTCGAGTGAAAGTACAAAAGTACTCAATTTTTAATGTACTTAAGTAAAAAAGTACTTATAGATAGATTTATTTTGCAATTTCTTTTATATAGGCTACTTAATTAAATTTTATATTAGCACATATTTTTTTATAATCCTACTGCTCAAAATACCTGGGATTTTCCCAAAATAACCACTATATGGAGTCAACATATATTTTTGTTGTTGATATGGACTACGTTGACGAGAGTGATGTAGTAGCCTATTAGACACAATATTGTCTGATTTAGCTAAATTGTGTAAACAAAAATATTACCTATAAAGCCACAGAAGAACTGTTGTGCATCTCCTAACAAAACCCAATAGGTGTTTGACTTGAAGCAGCACAGCACTGACCATTCTGTGTATGACATCAAAGTACCACGAGAGCAAATAGAGAGCATTTTTGACATTTTTGTTTTGATGTAAAAAAAAATCTAGCTGTTTTGCTTTTTTGTTAAAGCAGTGTTGCTGTTGTAAAGTTCCCTATCTCTCGGTCACTACGAGTTATGTCGTGACTCAACATTATGCGGTCGTACTTGGGAGCCCGAATCCTCTCTGATTAAGAGAAAACGCCAATGAAATTTGGCTAGTGGATTTTGCATACTGAGCCACTCCCCGTGCATACGGGTATAAATAGAATTCACCAGGCGAATTCTCTCGGCTGCTGGAAGAAGAGGCTGTTCTGGGTGGCGTTACGGCACAATCAGCGCCCTGTTAATTCAGCGATTCCCCTGGGCGCTTCATCTAAAAGAGCAATTTCTGAGCACGGACGGCTCGCGTCTTTTTAAAGATGCCGTTCCGTCCGTGTCCTCTTGCAGTTGTTTCCTATCCTCTGTCGACAGCCACGATCGTTGTCTTCAGTGTCTGGGCATCCAGCTCGCTGAAGCTGTGTTCGTGGATGGTTTATGCGTTCACTGCGATCGCGCCTCTCTCTCCTCATGTGGATGGGAGGGGCTCCCTCTGTCACTACCCGCGCTGGCTTCTCTGCCACATGCAGAGAACCATCGGCTAGTGCTCTGGGCGATCTGAGGGCTACAGTGAGAGTCTCTCCACCGGGCCAGTCCCCGCGGACCTCTCACTCCTACCCTCGATGGCGGGGTGGCTAGGGGGTACGTTGACATTCGCCAGGTGGAGAGTGCGGTTGTGGTGCACCTGTGCCCGCAAAACGCCACCACCTGGAGGAATCATCCTCATCTCCCGTCCAAAGCATGTAAGCTGATGGCGGCTCACCGCCAAAGCTGCAGTCCTGCGGGCCAAGCTGCCTGTTCCCAGCATGCCATGGCTATTCTGCAAGTACACCAAGCCAAGGCACTAAAATGAATGCACGAGGGTAGTACCGACCCGAGGTTGATGCAGGAACTGACGACTGACTTCGCCCCCGGGCGAAGAAAGTCACGACGCGGTCCCTCGGGAAGGCAATGTCCACGTTAGTGGTCCAAGTGTGCCATCTATGGCGCAGCCTTGTTGAGATGAGTGACGATGACAAAGTGCGCTTTCTTGATGCTCCCATCTCCCAGGCTGGGCTATTCGGCGACACTGTCGAGGACTTCGCCCAGCAGTTCTCGGCAGTGCAGCAGCAGACTGAGGCTATCCAGCACATCCTGCCCTGGCGTGATCCTCCAACTGCCACCATTCTGCCGCGGGCCACGCCTCAAGGCAAGGCAAGGCAAGTTTATTTATATAGCACATTTCATACACAATGGTAATTCA